ACAAGTGTGTCTCAAAGCCAAGAAATCGAATCCACTGCTTTGAGAAATTAAAGGAAGCAAAATAAATTGAAGGAAAAAAAGGAACGTGGAACATACTTTAAAGAATTGGCACTTCACATGGCGAGCCGTCTTTTTTGTGAAGTGGGTTTGTGAACTTGCTAGATAATAGTAGTGACCGAAGAGTGGCACCTGCACCCTCTCTTTTCTGTACTTTATTGCACTTTCACAAACCCGTTTAAAACATAAAAATAAAATGTTAAATACTGAAACTATTGTTGCTATTGAATAGCATATGGAAATTCAAATAGTGTAAATGTTTACAGAACGGTATAAGGAAGAATCGCTAAAGCGCTCGCAGTGACAAGAGAAATTGATTGCCAATCGTGCTTTGGACCGTTTCCCTCGCTCTTGAACTATTCGCTACCTGATGCCATTGCGCAGGCGCGATTTAATTTTATGGTATAGCTATGGCAATCTGTGGTACTTTCAGGTCAGCCTGGTCAAAGGATAGGATATTGCACTTATTCTTTCTAACAGACAGTGCTCAATATTTTTTCATTTTCCCTAATTATGAAACAATGTTTTTATTTTAAAAGTATTTCAAGGTTTATGTATATTTTCCGTTTTATTTATTATTACATTCTCGCACTTACATAAGCAGAGAAGGTATTCTAATCGTGCGAGAGAAAAATAATAATACGACAATGTTCATCATTGCTTTAGTTTTATTTCTAGCGTTCAAAATATCCTGATTATTTTTGCCTGATCTATTACTTTCTTTAAAATTATTTTCTAATCTGGGAAGTAGACATGGAAACCGAGTGATATGTTACGATGTTTGGAAATAAAGTAAAGCGTACGCTTGTTTTTACACGGTGTTCTAATTCTTTGTGTGATCCAAGTATTATTTTTTCGTTTTTGAGAGGAAAGAATGCGTTAGTGAAATGAAAGCTTTGAGAAAAATATATTATATTTTTCATTAGTGTGAACAGCATTACAGACTGTCCCATGATTCCTTCAGCAAGTGGTCCGTAAATAACTTTATGTTAACTTAAGTGAAAGCTTTGCACACGCGTATATTATTTATTGTGTCGGTGTTCATGTTATTAATAATTGTAAGAATTACTGCATCGTGGTCACTGTATCCTAGATTAGTAGTATTTATTTGATATCTAGTTGTGGTTTTGTTAATTACAATTTGATATATTGCTTTTTGTGATTTAAATGCGTTCCGTGTAGGTACATACACTCCAATATCTAAATTATAAGAATGCAGTAAATTAAGGAACTTCTCTTTTTTCGTGGGATTCGCTTAGAAAATCGATATTGAAATTTCACATATAACTATGGGTATAAAAGTTACATTACTAATTTTGTTCGGGTATCACAAGATTTTCTAAGAAAATAAAAATTATCTCAAGCTCATTTTGTTGGATGTCCGTAGATGCAAAGTAAGATGATATTGAGCGTAGGAAGATGGAAGACCCATTTCAAAAACTTTTTCAACTGCATATAAATTGCATTCTGACAAGAATATCTATAAGCCATTAAAATGCTGTGTTCCTTCCATACTTAACATGTGTAAAAGCTGTGCCCAAATATTGCGTACTTCACCAAATCAATTGTTACATCCGGCACCATGGCTATCAAATCATATGTTATAAATATCACAACAAACGGCCCCAAATGCTCGTTAAAAATTGGCATGCGAGATACCAAAAATATATCGCGGGTTCAGTACTGTTAATAATGCTGCTGAAATACAGCATTTTTTTGTTACAAAAATATTTTTTCCATTTACAAATGTTTAACGAAGATACCAACCTCAAACTTTATATGAGAGAAATCACTCTTATTCCTATAATATAATATATAATATCCGTCGATGATTTCTTTAAAACGTGAAGACGTGAAGATTTTTTGCGCAAAAAGGTAATTAAGCACCGAATAAAATTAGAATGTAGTTGAAATTTCATGATCACGTGATGTTGCCAACGCCGTAACCTAGGGAACAGCAAATCAAGCTACGGTATTTGCACATTGTCACCTAGAATTAGGGAACAAAAATGTAGGGGTAAACAAATGTTACGGGTTTCCCAACGTTCCTTTCTTTTGTTTAAAAAAGCGCGCAATTTACACAATTTGACTGCTTTTTTATTTGTTATTTTTTCTTTCTGAACAAATACATTTTTTCAATACAAATACATAATTTCTTTTGTAAATAATAAGCAATTTACATATTTGTGGAGTGTTTATGTTTCTGCAATGCAAATTTTCGCATATTAAGTATTTTTATTAAGAAATAATTATAAACGTTGTCATTGCCAACAGTAGTATTTATTGCAAGAGCAGCTTTCGATGGCTTAGCCATCATCATCATCATCATCATCATCAGTTGTCTGCTGAATGGAAGGCCTTCCATTCAGCTACTGAATAGAAGGCCTTCCATTCAGCTACTGTTGCCAATGACGTTTATAATTATTTCATGAAAAATGCCAACGATAACGCACCTCAACACCTATATTTTTTTGAAACCAACATTGCTGATTGCGGCTCAGACATTCAGAATATCCAAGGAGTTCATGAGATAAAATATGCTTAAAATTGTCTTATGAGCATATTTTCGAAGTTTCGGCGTTTTCTCCCTGAACATTTCCTGTATGTACATCCATCCATCAGGGCGGATCCAGAGACCAATTTTGGGAGGGGAGATTCCAAATGTTTTTGGTCGAATGTGTCACATTACAGATTTTGCCAAATGTCGCGGGCTACACTCCGTTTGTGCTGCGATACTATTTTATTCGTTTGAATGGTTATACGTAACATAGGAACTATATGTCACATAGTTTTTACTGTTTTTTGACTAAATAAATCTATATCTAAATATTATGAAGATGGCACGTGCAGGCATATAGCTGATGTTGGCCTAAATTAAATATTTATTAAAAGAAATGTGTTGATGCCTTTTATTATTCTTATTGGTTATTTTTTGGCTCCCTTTACATGAACATTATTGGTAGATCCTAGCAGTAAGTGTATATATAATATTACTTTTTAAATAAGTACATAATTATAACACAAATGTTTAATCAATTTTGCCGAATAGAAGAAGGTAACAAACGAAATCTCCGGGCCTTTTGGGTGGGGGGAGGCATGGCCCCATGCCCCCCACCCACGGATCCGTCAGTGAACGTGTTCAAGTTCAATTGGGTAGAGGCAAACTTCCAAAGAAAAAAGAAACACCCCTTGAGTTATTACACCGTACTTTAACTATTAGCTCGCGGCATCCATCCATCCGTCCAACATTGAGACACTTTCTGCTCAAGAGGTGATGGTGCTTTCTTCACTAGCTTTGGAAGTCTGATGTTTCAAAAATCGTGATGTAATAAATACTGATTTGATTTGTCAAATGTTCAGCATGTCACGAGAATGTGGTTAATATATAGGGTAAACCTACTAATTTAACTTATGTCTTGATATATTTGATTTGGGGGGGGGGGTATTTACGTGTCGAAAACAATAATTCATTTTGCAGAATCCACGTGAGCGTGAACGACCAACGCCCTCTAGATCGTGTTTCTGCATGGGGGCGGGTGAGTCTGCGTGCCGATCATCTTCACTGTATAGTCCGTGGGTTTGCTAGTAACGCTGCCTGCGGTCAATAAATGTACTAGAGCTCAGACATGGCCGCTACCTTGTGACTATTCTCTGAGCAAGCGTGGTCGGCTGTATGGTGAGCCTTCAGTGACATTATAATACAAAAGCTCGGATTGTATCGTACACATTCGTGCCTATGCTGTGCCCATGAGCGGTTTTAATGGTTGCAACTTGTTTCATAACTTGTGAATCGGAAGGTGTGTATTGTAGATCCAGACTTCAGTGAGGGAAGGCGTATGCACAGTAATATCAGTCTTCTCGTATAATTCCACCACAGAATAATTGCTTTTAATTGATATTGTTAAAAGTGAATATTTGATGGTGATACATATTTGTGTGCAGTTCGTGTTTTGTGGGTTTTATATGCCTTCACGCAATCTATTTCGACATCGTGACGTCAGATACACCGCCCTCAACCGATGACATGCCATTCCGGTACTGAAGCTCGTAGTTGCGTCACCGGCATAGTGAATATAGTTGGTTTTTCATATTTCTGAAAGCGTTGAAAGGTGTATTATTCAAAAATATCACGTTAGGTCCGACCGTGCCTTGTACAGCGGAAATCTGTAAAATTCCTGTGTACCTCTCGTGCCGAGGAAACCAGATGCTCATTGCCGATATCTGGCAAGTTGCGATTTCATATATATTACCGTGACCTCTAGATATAAAGAAAATTGATTACGGAGAGGTGTGCACCGCCATAATCCTGTAATAAAAGTTAATTTTTAGAATTTCTTTTGGAAGACCGTTAACTGTGCACACTTTCGTCTTGTTACCCACCACGTTTTCATCAAACTTCTGTGTATTATGCCATTGCACATTTCATTGAAATGTCACTTCTTTATTATTCGTTATCTCCTTGTGCTGAAAGATCATGCACAGATTGTTTAAATGCGACCGAAAGTTGTTCAGATGGTAGTGATAATTTATAAACTACCTGATTATTTAATATTTAATTGTTACTTGGGTTTCACAAGGTTTTTAAATGGTATTCCGATGATCTTTTTTCACTTTTCTGAATTATTTTTATGGACCCTTTAGTCTTAACTGATAAGCAGAGATAGTGTTATCTTTACAATCTCACATGGTGTGAATGACCAGTATATTTCTACCATGTTATAATAAAATTAGCATTGATATGAAGCCATAAGAGAAACTTACAAACAAATAGTCTTAATCTCTTTAAATTTATATGAAATAATTTGCATAATTATAATAAAGAAGATAACTCTCACACAAAGCAATAGATATGAGAATTAGACATTCTATAATATATTAAATTAGCCATTTATTATATATAAAGATGTTCTTGAGTAAAGTATTAAAGGTAATCACTTTTTCAGGCTGATGATCATAATGCCCATGTATCAAACTTGGATGATGGTCAGTTGAGAGCTCTCCTTGACGAGGCTATTGCCTACAAGTGCCCTAAGGATAGGGAAGGCAAAAGCAACCTCTTCAGAGTAAGTGATGTTACATCTACTTTTACAGGTACTTGTGATTTTGAGTGTCTTATGTTGTAAGTGTTTGTTGATGTACTAGGAACTCCTGCAGGAGGCAGAAGCAAACGAAGACGGGGACACTCGTCGGGGATTGGCAGGGGTGGGTGGGTCTCGTTATTATAGCAATAGCAATCGTCGCAGAGGCCGTCGAGATGCTCAGGTGTCTGAACGGCAGCATCGAGGTGGCTCCTTGCAGAACTTAGTGCATGCCTCAAATGCTGAATTTGATCCTGCTGCAGGTTTCGGTGGGTATCACAGTGGGGGCAGTCGCTCTGCTAGGAAATCAAAGCGTTTAAGTACTGGCAGTGGTTCTTACGGAAGTGGTTCAGGTGGCAGTGGCATTGGGAGAGACTGTGGTGGTATTAGTGTCAGTGCTCGGCAACGAGAGGGAGGTTCCCTGCCCAGTAATGTGAATGTGGGTGGTATGCTGACTTTGAGTGGACTAGACTATCATACTACTCCAACATCCTTGCCTTTTGATGACATTAAATCTTGCAAGCAAGTTGCAGCCAGGCGGAAAGAGTTCATTCATTCCTCCTCCTCGAATGAATTTACGTCAATGCCTGTCCAAGCTTCAACAATAAACTCTTCAGGCAGTGGTAGTGGTGGTGTTGAAAGTGGCAGTGCGTTGGTACCAAATAACAGTTGCATAGCTCCAAAACCAGAATTCATGGTGTTGGACCTAGGAGACTATGTTGGTGAGAACACAGGAGAAAGCAAGGGTGGCAACAGCAGCAGTGTTGGTTTGTCAAATAATGTTACCTCAACCAGTAGTGCAAACACGGACAATGGTCTTTCCACTGCATCCCAAAGCGAAGAGAAGAAGAGTCCAACAGGAGACAGCAATGGTGCAGAAGAAGGACTTGAATTGGAGGTGCTTCAACGAGCAGAGGTGACAACTCGGGTGCCCAACTATACCAGCAGGGCTATGCTGGAAGTTGGCCATGGAGAAAAGAAAAGCACTAGCTTGAACGCAGTAAATGCTACAGACTCTGTAGGAGAGGTTGATACCACAGTCACATTTCCTCTTGAAATTCTTCAGGTAGTGTAATATTTCTCATTGTAAAAGTGTGATCAGTATGTAAATCAGAAAAGTGCAATTAGCAAAATGCAATTAGACTTGCAATACATGAAATCTCAGAATGATAAAAGAAATTCAAATATCTATTTTATGCGATTTCCTGGAAATCGCATAAAAATCACACAATGTTTCAGATGGTTGTGAAATAGTTCAGAAGTGTCATCCAGTATTCTACTTTCTTTTAGGGAGGGGAAAAAGTTTGTGATGTAATCTTGATAATAAAAAGTAATAAGAAAAGATAGTACAATGAAACAAAATGGCATTAAATTGTAAATGGTTTTCCCTAGTCAGAACTTAAAAATGTTTTCTTTTTGATTTGACTTAACAGTGCAGTGAAAAAACGAGTAGTACTCCTGCAGTGAATGGTGTTGAACAAAATTCATTACAATTGCAATCTTCCTACACTTCTGTCAAATCTGTTATGAGCTCCAGCAGTTCAAGTTCCGGCCCTAGAGATGAGAAGTCCCTCATTAGTAAAGGTGAGTTCATTCATCAGTCGTTGTTTCCTGTGGAGCTAGTTGGAAATGTCTTAGTACTAGCTGGAAATGTCTTAGAATTGTGATAACACGCGATGAGCCCACGGTAAATTGCAGGCAGTGATATTGCAAAGCGCTCTGCAGGTTCAGAGTCTATAGGTAAAGCTGCTGCAGCATCGGCTGCAGCACCCACGTCTGCCGCCAATGCGGCGGCGAGTGCCATGCCCATGTTGTCCATGCAGCACCACTTGAGTGTGCTATCGCTTCCTCCGACCAGCTGGATCAATGCTCCTCTAGTCCCTGGTAAGACGGACTGCCTCCGTGCCGCGTCCCTTGCCTCCGAAAGAGCCTGCCTGCGAGCGTCGTTGGCCTCTGGTAAGAAAGGACTGTTGCCCTCTATTTTACTGTGGTGTCTGCTTCGCCACAGAGAGGCATGCTGTTTCATTTCATGAAAATGTATGACGTGCGATGTAACCTCATTGCTCATTTATGTAGAATTTGGCCTTTTTGTTAAGGAAATCAAACATTTATTTTGTTTCTTCGTTTTCTTTTTCTCTCTGCTCTTTGGACAAATTCTGTCTTATATTTGCCAAATTAGCTTGTTATTTGTCAGTAAGTCATCATGCTTACTTTCAATTGAATTGAATTTTTTTAGTTTGCATGAATTTGAGATACAAGAATGGAGTACCCTTGTGAAAATTGCTCAACCACTGTAGATTGTACATTTTTTTAAATATCACTTCAATTTCTGTTCTGCATGTATATGTAGGTTTCATGTGAATTTTAAACACAGCATTTAGCACAGCTCAATGTATTTATGCACTGCGTGTGTTAAATTGCAAGACAATTAACTTGCTATCTGATTTTCAATGCCTTTTCTCTTGCACCTCTTTGTAATTTTTCGTAGATGTACAGGAAATAAATTTGCTTATTCCCTAAATATTACTATTCAGCTTTACTATGTAGAAAATGCAATAGTGTTTATGAATGTTTGTTGAAATCAACATTGCTCACCGAACAGAAGTTATCAACAATCTGTTGAGTGTTTAGATAAGCAGTGATGCAATGAGGATTTTCTGCACATGATGAAAACTGTTTTGTTGCTTCAGCATTCTTTTCAATGCTGGAAGAAGTGTGTTAAAATTAAGAGGTAACAGTCCTGATTTACTGAGGGCATGACGATGCTACATCTGGCCACACTAGATGGAACCACTAGAATTAATGTTGGTGGTTTGCGAAGGGTTTCTCTTGCTTCCAAAATAACCATGCCCTTTTTCTTCTTAACAGTTTGTTTGTAATCGTATTTTGTATGTTGATGGAGCTCTAATTGTGTGGAAGTTGTTTAGAAAATGTTTTGGTTGCTGCATCGGTTTTATTAATTAATGTTTGCATCTAGTAAGTAGACTTGCCAGTTATTTGAGAGGAAATTTTAATTGTTCATTTTATTGTGGTGTTAATTGTATTGTGGGTGTAGTGTTATTCCTTGTCAAGGACAATGATTATACTACAATGTGTCCAAAGTTATTTTATGCTTTTACATGTTGAGATCTTACTTTTACAAGTTTCACTCTTGAATGAAAATAAATACATGTTATGTCTGGAAATTGGTGGATGTTTAAGCATGAAGCACATTTGATGAGGACAAGATTATCATAATTGTGTGAATTGAACATTTGGACACATTGCAGTTGCTATTAAGTAGGTTATTCATCAATACACTCGTTCACATCACATAATGAAGTGTTGCTTATTAGCATTGGAATGCTTCATTATAGACCTACGTATTTCTGGAAATTAGGAACAGTAATGACAAAAATTATATGCTTTCTGAATATTCTCTTTGCGTTTATTTAAAGTGTACAATTGTTTGCATAGTTGTTTTAGAGCATTACATGCATGGATGTGCTATGAAATGCTTTTATTCACAGTGTATTTTGTGCATGTTTCACTTAAAATTTATCATGCTGGAAAGCTTTGTTGCAGGACAACCTGTCATTAATAGAACTGATTTTTTTTTTTATTGTGAAGAAATTGTTTGTGCTCCTAATTTCATTTTCACCTTTACAAAGTTCCCGATTCAATCTCCGAGATTGGATTACTCTACATTTAATTGAACAAATAACGGAAGTTAACATACCACATGTCAGGTTCTCTTTGAGTGTCTCAATGCTTCTGTTGGTAAACAAGATGTTTCCAGTGAGAAATAGTTTGTACTGGCAGTGTTTAGACAATACTGCTGGAGACGTTTCATGACTTTTTGTTTTATTTCTTGTTTTTATTTATGCTTACCCCTGTTTGTCAGTCACAAGCGAGAAGCATGAGAGTTCCTACTCTGGGTTAACAACTTGGTACGCTGACTTTGTTACGGTAAAGCGGCCCACTAGAGAAGGTAATTCCAGTTCATCTCTACCCCATGCTCTTCTTAAGGGCAAGGGTGTTTTTCCTGAGAACACTTGGTCATTGTAAAAGCTTCTTCTCATGATGTAAATGTATAAAATGACAAGTTAACTGTATTTGTGCCCATTGCCTTGTTTGTTGTAGGGAAGCATTAATTGATAATTTAATGCTTTGGGTAAATAATTTGGAATTGATAGAAAGCTTATGCTATCACAATCCTTAGCAAAACAGAAATCTAAATGTGTAGCTTGTCATATTTAAATATTTACATTTTAAGAAAGGAGTAACTGTTTTAATTCATGACAATATACTTATTGTCTTATGGTAAAGGTGACAAAATATTTTATTCGAGGTTATGGTTACCATAGAAGGAACTTACATTAATGCTTTTTTACTTTTGCGTTGTGTGTTCTGCTATTTGCATGTGGTTGAAGATTATGTACATAGTAATACATTGGACATACTATTTGCACAAGAGATTTAATCATGTTATTCTATTGTGTAATGGCCTGAGTTCAGATTGTATACATTTAATTTCGAATATTTCTTAGTTTTATTTGTTTAACTTGCATTTGCTGTAACTTGTCTTATAAAAAGCTTACAGAGGTATGTTCAGATTATTTGTTCAATTAAATATGTTTACTACAGTATGCCTCTACAATCATAACGGGCCATAACGTTTTGTAGATTTGTGGCAAGGATAATGCATGGTATTTTGCATGCTTATCTAAGTAATTTGTTAGAAATATAATTGTGACTGACCGTTTGCAGATGTGAACAGGCTCACTTTTACTCACGGAAGCAGCAAGGACTGCTCTGGAGAATCAAAGGTAAATCTCATTCCTTTTCACTATCAGATATCTTTATTAGTTCTGAGAAAGTGGAGTAAAGAATATTATCCATTGCAGAACAAGTCTCTAGATGAGAATGGCAATGCTGTAAATCGTTTGGAGTCAACTAATAGCAATAGCACTGAACGAAAAGGAAAACAGAGGAAGACAAAGGTAAGGTTTTGCCTTTAAAATAAGATTAATGTAAATTTTATTCCCTTTCACATTTATTCAGATACCTAACCTGTATTGTCTTCGTTTAGTAATATAATGAGGTATTTAATCACCAACTTGGAAAAATTATGGGCTGGAAGATAATTTACTTACTGGGAATGGATGCCATTTTGCTTGTCCTGCTCAGAGTACCAACGTTTTAGATTTTAAAAATAAAAGTGGATTGATTTAACACACTACTGACAGAAGTTGTGTATTTTTGTAATGACATAACCATGAATACCTACAAGTGGAATTATGTCCAACCTCAAACTTTTAAAGCATGATGATGCTTCATTGTGTATGTGTCTAATTTCATGAGGTTCAGGCTTTTGACCTAGGTGATTAATATAAAGTATTTTAGTGTTCTTTCAAATACATTTTATTTCAAAGACTGTTATTGCCAAAAACTTTCACGCCGCACTTGACACTAAATTTGCATGTCAAGAGTTCATAACTAGTCCATAGTATGAAACGACAAAATATATACATACATCTTATAATTTTTATTAAATTTTTAACAAGTATGTAAAAAATTATATAATTTGTAATATCAAAACACGCTCCCATTTAAAATTACCTTAATGTTTTAAAACAAATGTGACGACAAATTCCTCTTGAAAATTCAGATTAAAATTCGAGAAATATCTCAGTGATACTTTCAATACTTAGAGATGATATGTGCAGTGCTCATGCGCCCTTGTTGCAACATTTATGCAGTGAAGACATGCGAGTGTGTTTTATTGTGGCCAAACTCACATTTTCAATATGCAATTCTGAAAAGGTGTTTTTAAAAAAATGCTTTTTATTTAATGGTTTCAGTTCCACTGTAGCTGTATGGCTACATCACTTACTTGGTTTGGTTATATCACTCAAATACATTTTTATTAATTTCCAAAACTTATTCAATATAGTTGAATCATTTAACAAATAGATCAAGGATATACTTCTGTTCTGTAGATTTTTGGAGTTATTTTCTCTTTGGTGTGTGTTCACATGTTATACACGACACTGCAAGCTCCAATTGTTGAATGTCCAAGATAAATGTAACTTTGTTTTAAAGAATAGGATTTGTTTACAACACGCATCACAATATGTATTTATTTAAAAGATTATAAGATATTTGAATGAGATATGCTTTGTCGCCATATGGCTACATAGAGAATACATAATGTTCAAATGGAGGATCATTCACATGTCATAACTCTGTTTAGCAATTGATATAACCTAATTTGAAGCATAGATTTGTTTTTATGATTTATAATTGAGTATAAATATATTAATGTAAAATAAATTCAATAATTTGGTGTCTCCTTTAATGTATTAATGAGTAAACACATTAGTGATGTTTTCTGGTCAAGTTGATAAAGCTGTTTTTCTAGAAAGATGTTGAATTCTGAAGAGATGCCGAATGAAAATAATGAAATTCTCAAATGCACAATAACAACCATAATAGAGAGAGATAGTTAAAAAAAAAAATTAGGAAAAGTACATCATGTTTCAGATCAAAATAAATATAAAGACATTGTTTATATCTATTTTTGGCCTAGTGAAAGAGAACTAAAAATACAAAAATGGTATTATGTTGGAAATAAATAAATGTTGTTTGTTGATAAAGTAACTCCTTCCAGGCAGAAGTAGTTCAAACAACTTCAACAAATTAGCAAAATGTCAAAGTAAATATTTCCAGGTGGCTTATCAAAGACTAAATGTTGTGTAGGGGTATATATTACAAACCCAAATAACTTTTTTTTTAATTGACGTAAGCAAAAAAAGGCTAGTTATACTACATATATTTCTTGAAGTTCCCTGTGTGTCCAATGTAGCCATATGGCATTATTTCATAAAAAATTAACTGATTTGCAGAATGTCATTAATTTTTTAAGTTTTCTGATGTTCCCCTTTATCAAGCTTTGCCTTCAAAATTTTGCTTCTTCATAATAAATAATTTGGGAATAAAAGGGATAATATGTTTGAAAAATGAATTTCAATAAAATTGGTATAAAAATGGTTTTGCAAAATGTGTGTAATATAGTTCAATATATGTAATGAAATATTTGGATATTGCATTAGAATTATCCTGATTTGCCTAAATCACAATTTTGAGAACTGAACTTAGGAAGTTAAAAAATATGAAATTACATGAAAACTCTCACTCTATTCATAACAAGGTGCTGGCTTTGGCGTTTACAATTGGCCTACATCAATCCTGTCCTACACAATTGACAGTTGGCACAAGTCTTGGTTGATGACACTCAATATACACCAAGCCTACCAAATTCATTGTCATGATTTGCTGTTGTGCATCTCAATTGCTATACAATTGGCAAAACAACTTACGAACATTTACAATTCTTAGGTTGGCAACATCCTCATTTGAGGTGGGAATGGTTCCATTGATTCCTTGTAAGTAAACTTCATCCAGGGTGGAAAATATTTTTCAACCACATGTTGAACAATAAATTTTTTTTCATGTGAATATCATACATTATTTCCCTTATTTCTGGCATTGATTTTGTAGTTAAATATAAGCAATATTTAAAACCTAAATTGATTAGTTGTGTATATTCTTCAGGATTCAACAATGTGGTAAATATTCCGATTATAAATGATTTGTTATTTATAAAATAAGAAATTTGTGCTGCTGTTTAGAATAAGAATTAAAACTTAGTGACTAAAATATTTCTTGTTTCAGACAAACAATGATCGAAATGTAATTATGTCTCAGAACATTGAAGGATACCGTGGTGACAAAGACATTGATACAGTTCTCAAGTTCATTGAATCGAATTCTGATGGTAAAGGAACAAACAAAACAAAAAATGCAACATCTCACAGTAATGGTCCAATGAACTTTAGCAGCAAACAGCAGCGAAATTGCAGTAGACTGATTGGATGTGGGACAAAACCACGTCGTGAACGAGGAGCAGAGGATCCTAGCGGGGATGAAGATCGTGTGGGGAAAGGGCGAGCTGGAACAGGAAAACAAGTGACCAAAGAGCATCGCGGTAAGGGTTCAAAGTTGAAAAAATCGAATAGTCTTGAAGAAATTTCAAAGACAAAATTAGAAGATCTTACTTCAAATTCTAAAGAAGGTAGTGAGAATGGAGTGACTGGAGAAGCTGGAAATAATGAAGAGGGTGCCTCTGAACTGGTGAGACGTCCCAAAAAGCAATCAACTTTAGATAATGGAGAGTTTTATGGTGAAAAGGGAAGAGTAGGTGATAGACGGTCTTGGGGGACAGAGGAAGGTCAACAATATTATTGTAATGATGGTGTGACAGTGTCAGCTGATGAGAGTAGTAGTGGGAGTGGACAGACTAGTCGGAAGCGTAGAGGAAACTCCACAGTTACAAGTTCCCTTACAAGTGATGAAAAGCGCAAGAGTGAAAGAGAAGAAGGTGTCAGTGCTACAGCTGTTTCAGTTGGTGGTGGATCTGGTGCTAGTGAAGAAACAGAATTTCATGTTGTTAGAAAGAAGTACAGGCGAAATAAGAGGAGAAGCAGTAGTGGTGGTCGTGGAACAAGTGCTAGTACTGGGGGAAGCATTTTTGGTGATGATAGTTGGCGCCCTTCCTGTCCTAATTACAGCACATCTTATTACCAAAATAGGGATGGTGGAGGGGGTCCATATTACCAAAGGAAAACATTCACTAATACTAGCAGTGGTTTCCCACCGCACGACAGAACAGTAGAAAGAGATAGTGGTGGAGTGATGTTATACACTCAGTATAGGCATCACCGCCCACGGTCACCAGACCACTTACGTCGTAAATCTACTTCTAGTATGCCTCCATCAGATAAGTCTGATAGCAGTGATTTGGATAGTGTACATTCTCTTCCAGTTTCTTCAACCACGCCAAAGTTGACATTGGATCAAACATCAACGTCAAGTGGTTCCACACCGCAGGCATCATATGCTGACATTGCTCGAATGGCTTCCACTAATGTCCCACCAGCTCCTACTCACACCCATAATTATGTAACTATAAATCTCAATGCAAATCGGTGGCCTGTAATGGGAATGCCCAAGAGTGCAGCGACAACTACTACTACTGGTGTTGTTACTACATCAAATACAAATCCAGTTTCAGTTCCCTCCTCTTCCAGTTCATTGGTTATTTCACCAGTAGTTAGTAGTAATCCTCAGTTCATCACTGGACCAAAATTGAATATAGGTGTTCCCCCAGTGAGTGGTTCAAAAGTAGCTGTTTCTGCAAGTAACTCTGCTTTGGGATTGCAAAACACAAACCCATCAACAGTTCCTGTTGCTCCGGGAGCAACATCTGAGGATGTAGATCAAGCTTCATCTCGAAGGGAATCCGATGCAGTTCGTTCATCTGAACAGATTCCTGTTTGCAAGGTGCGATCTACTCATTCTCCACCAACTGACACTCGAACAAAGAAAGATGCAATGACAAATACAAGTTTAGATTATGGTACAGTCTCCCCTTGTTCTTCTGAAGAGAAGGATACATGTCAAGTGCAGGGCAATGGTTCTAGACCTGTGGAAACCGTAGTGAACTTCTTGCGAGATGGAGAATATCCATCACTGGAAGAAAGTTTAGGTTCAGATAAATCAAAAAGTATGAAAGTTAGTCAACTTCATAGTACTCATTCACAATTTCTAGGTGAAAACAATTCATTACTGACTAGTTTTGTTAATAGTCCTAATAAAGATAAGTCTCAGAGTTCTCATGTTGTGACTGTATGTGAAACTGAAAAGGATGATGTAGCCAATGAGAAAAGACTTCAGATATTGCCTATTGATCCAAATGTTGCTGTGATTGCTGCTGCTGCTGCTGCTGTCACTATTCCTATCACAACTACTATCACCACAACCATCACTGCTGCTGTTGCTACTACAGTTACTATGGTTGCTGCCACTGCCACCACTATTTCCGCTACTAATTCAACTACATCCTCTACTACTGCTACGACGACATCTACTACTACCACCACCACCTCTTCTGCCAACGCCACCACGAACACTTCTTCTAACCCTGCCACTTCTACTTCAACTACTACATCCACTACCGCTGCTGCTGCTGCTACGACGACTACTGCTACTTCTAACATTACTACTTCTACTACTACTACTGCTGCTGCTGCTGCTGCTGCTGCTGCTACTACTACTACTACTACTACTACTACTACTTTTTCGACGACTACAACAACAAGTTCTTCGACTGCTTCATCTTCAACTACTACTTCCTTGGCTACTATTTCCTCAACTTCTACTACAACTACTTCTGCTTCTCCAGAAACGTGTGTGCCTGATAGTGTTGTTGCTGCTATGGAAGTTAGTAGTGTTCAAAGTGTTGATCTTACGACTGATGTTGCCAAATTGAAAGAAGCAAATGTATGTAAATCAAAGAACTCTAATAAGAAAGCAAATAGTTGTGGCAGCCGACCCCCTGTGATTATTATGGATGAAAGCGATCAAGTATTCCCTTACAGTGATGGATTAGCGACTGTTAGTGAATTGACTTTCGGGTTTGAAGTGAACGAACAGTTATTAATGTCTGACACTACTGAAGATGTGGAGGGTAAAGTTGGGACATCAGTATTTGTGCCAGACAGTACTCCTAGTGTTGTTGAGGAAGCAAACCCAGCGGCTGTTTCTACTACTGCGTCGTCAGCAACTATTATTTCCTCGCCTGGTGAAGACTTCTCTGCAAGGTACCGGGAACCTCTTACTCAACCAGACAACCATGATAAAATTGTCACCTTTGTTGGATTGGGTATGTATAAATTACTTTTTAATAATGATAGCAATTAATGAAATGGTGTTAAGCATAAAAAAGATTTATCTGCCTACCTGAATTGAATATAGTTAATTTAAAAGGAATTAACTTTCAACATTAGGCAGATAAAATATGTTTTCTGATTACTATCAACTTGCATCAATTTTATATAAAAGTCTCCCTTTTTCATTATATCAATTTTTTTTAATATTAGATTGTTTGTGTTTGTAAATTTTATGCATTGTATGCCATTATGAGAAAATCTTTTTGGGACAAGAGTTGAAACTTTGATGTTTAGCAGGGTTGTTGTTATTTAATCCATTCTCCCCCTTCAAATGATTTATAAATATGACTGACAAGTTGTAAATTAGATTTATCATTTTTTTATATTGTGTTAGTGGTTTATAGTAATAGTAACTGTGATTATGTTAATATGAAATACCATTGTATATATTTGTATTATAACACTCAAAGCCAAAAATGTTGGCATGTTAGCTAATTTTAATATTTTCTTTTCTTTTTTCCAGCATGGGATGATGTATTGAAAGAAATGAATGCTTCACCAATCCATTCTGGTGGCAAGGTTCAGTACTATAATGGCCAGTAAAAAAAAACTTCCATTTCCTTTTTTCCCTTGTGTGGCATTTTAATATCATGTGGTTAATTGGTTATATAATTAGTTGAGTTTTTCTTTAAAGCATCAGCAAATTTCTTTAAGTGCCCTAATGATCAGGAGCTTGTTGCATTTATGCATATAACTTTGCCATCTGCCAGAGGGGACAGATAGTGATGCAAGAGTGTATAGGCTCTGTGCCTGAAAATGTTATTGTTTACCAGAAAACTATATCTCTAAAGACATTGTGACAATGCTAAGAGCTTATATAGATAGACCCATGATGGAGAAAGTGTTATGAGATTCACCAGTGAAGGTTTTATAAGACTCGTATAATTTTAATTTATAAATATTACTCACATAATTCTGGTGATAACTTAGTCATGAAGTGGACATGGAAAAAGTCATGGTTGAGTGACAGTGATCTTGTTATTGTGATGTTACTTTGTTTTTCGTGAAAACTGAAGAAAAGTTGGTAGGAAATATATTTATGAACCAAAAAAGATTTGAAAGTTTTATTAGTGACAATAAAGGAATGCGAGAAATTGTTTGGTTTAGTATATTCCACAGAAACCATTTAGGAGATTAACTGAAGTATAAAAAGTGATTGGTGGTGATTGTGCATGTTGTAAAACAAAGAGCTTGCTTCAAATGTTGCATACTAAATGATGAGTTAACTATCTGCAAGAGAAAAGGAAAGATGTACAATATGGTGGTTTATATTGTAAGAAATAAGTTCGAAAATGTTCTGAAAAAGCTCTTGGATAAGAAAGTGTACTTGGATTTAGTTGCATTGTTTGAAGAATTTAAAATCTGCCTTGTACTAGCTTTTCTTCCATAGAAGAGAGTACAATTTTTGGTTTATAATGTGTTGGCATTTATAATTCAATTTATTATTGTGTGAATGTGTGTTTCATTTGTAGTCATCTTTTTTTTTTCTTTTTTTTTTTTTTAATATACATACATGAACATATATTCTAAACTTATGTAGTAAATTAGAGCAAGAGTGAAGACTGGTGAGGAAAAATCAATTGAATGGTTTGTGTGGAAGAATTTGGAAGATTCAAGATTGTTACCAAGTTTTTACGAACGTTCACAATGAGTATTTTTGTCTCCCATTCGTTCGGTTGCCTAATTGTTATGCATCATATGAGTGAATGTAACTTCAGGCTTTCAGATTGATGCATGTGGGGTTGATAAAATGTGTGAAAGTAGTCATTTTTCTGAAGAGCAAGTACCTTAACAATTTCATTCAGGGCCAAATAAGGGAAGATGCTGGATGTGTTTGGTTTCTTGAGTGGATGTGCAGTTCCTGTGCTGCTTTTGCAGCCTTTAAAGGTAGAGCAGGGGGTGCCCTGCTGTGTCCCCTCTTGTTTGCCATTACAGTTTGTACAGCTTTCAATTCTGTTGCAGCGTTTTTTCTGTGGAAACTACTAAAAACTCTATGAACTTTGTATTAGTTAAAATGTTGACAAATTTTGGTCAGAGTTGCTTGATGTGTAAGTGCATTTTCTGTTGTTGATTTTGTTTTTTGTTTTTCTGATGGGTCGAGAATGTGGCTTAAAGACATTTCCTTTCATGCAGTCCGACAGCAGTACTAAGGATCTATGCTTTCAAACTAGACAAGTTTTCAATAAAATATAAAAAGAAATAAAAAAAATGGAAACACCATTTCCCCATATACAAAACATATTTCAAAAAAATTATAATGAAGCTGTAATTTGCATTTCTTGTGGTATATTACTTGCGAATTATGACCAGGTGGTTGTTGCTGTGCAGTATCTCCAATTCGCCTCAATATGCTTGAAAGAAAATAAAATTCCTGATTCTGTATTACAAAAGGTGCACTTTGAATTAATACTCTGGTGAAACTTGTAATTTACTTCAAGAAATGTTTAATCAGGCTTTCCTAGATAACAAAGCTAAGATACAAATTGTAAGGTAAAGTATGCAGTGTGTAAAATAAGCTCTAATTATTCAATAAATTGCTTGTTGCAAAACCTGGAACTTTAAGCTGTTACAATGTCATAGTTCTTCAGGGACTTGGTACGACTTAAATCTTCAATGTCATGTGAAATGGAGAAAAATTATCCGAACAGCTGTATATTTATTTGAAATTACAAGTTCCAAGCAGTCACATAGTGAAGCAACAGTCTAATCCAACCGGACTTAGTGTTGCATTTTCTGTACACCAAGAAGTAGTGTGGTTACTATATTTTTCTACAGATGTTGACAGATTCTTGGTTTCATTTTGAAAATGGTGTTCTGGCAATAAAGTATGAACTTGTAGTTCTGTGTGTAAGTATTTATATTGTTTCCTACTGCTATTATTGTGCAGATTTTCAATCTAAATCTGTTAATGATCATCTGGACAAATTCATTTATTTTTATCTCTATTGGTTGAACCATTCTCGTGTTATGTATAGTGTTCTTCTCCACATATCTCGCCATAACTTGTATGTGGAAGTGTGTTAAACCAAAGACTGCAAGTGCCACTGTTTTTGGAGTGTGTGTTAAGCAGACCAGTTGGGTTAACTTCTTGGAATTGGACGACTCAAAAAAAAATTCGAAATTTTGTGTCAAGATGTTTTATTGAAATTTGCTTCAAAGTGAACACAGCTATATCAGTATATCATACAAAAGCATACATTTATGTAAAATGGATCTCATAAACAGAAGGTGTTTTAAAGGCCTGGGAAATAGTGTGCCCTTGACTTCTAGATTATACATTAATGTTATTCTATGATTTTCTGTTTTCCATCAGAGTGTTAACTAAGTCAGTTTTTTTCTAGGTGTTATTTTGTGAGAGATTGAACTTAACTGAATGTGAACCAGTGACTCACAGGAAATTTTTACTCTATACACTTAAAACCTTTATTCTTCAATAATCAGTTGCTTTCTATTTCTTTAGAATTGGAAACTTATACTTAATTTGGGATCCAACATTGGCCAAGAATATGGAATAAATTCTGTTTTCGCAGGCAGCCACTTGCTATTTTTACTTGTGGGTTGGCAACCCTGTATAACATTGTATTTGTTGCAGGCTTGAAGACATTTGGAAAATGTGGAAATGAAATGTGCTGAATATTTGTTAATAAGGAATCTATGCTGAAAACTGACATGTCCGTATAAATCATTCTGACCTTTGGTTAATTGTGTCAAAATATATTTGTGCTGTGTTGTGAATTTAGAACAAATATGACTACTTAAAATATACAATTTCATTTCACACTGCATTAAATTAATTTCAGTACTTTGTCTATATTCTAGACAAAGTTATTTTATTTAATTTTTCCTATTAGCATACTTTAAAAATGTTCCTACACGCAAAACTTTGCAAATTGATTTCAGTGCCACTGCTGAAGGTAGCTTTTGGAACTTAAAGGCTCAAAATAAGTTCTATTAAATATTGTTCCATTTTGAATCCCGTTGCCTGTTTGCCGCCTATTGAGTTACCAAAATTTGTATATTGAAAGTCGTATTTGTTATAAATTCCTCTTATATAAATAAGCAATATTTATATATAAATATATATACACTTATAAATTTGAGTCATAAACAGTTAACACATGACTGGCCTTTTATTTATTTGAGTTCCTAAGAGTTGATGGTTGGCTGTGCACTCCTTTCCTTTTCCTCTGTTTTGAATCACATTTTCTTGATGGCAAATTAGAGATGCTTTTGAATCAAAGGTCGCAATGGTTTGTATGGTTTAGGTGAACGAGTGTTACCTTTGTAGGGTTGATTAGGACAATGTACAGAGATTGTTAATACATGGATAAAAGTTGTTCAGTAATGAATAAAAGTTATGAAAAATCAATTGCTTTCATACTTTCAAATTGCGTGTTTGTTTGTTTTTTTTTGGAGGAGGGGGGACCATTTTATAGGAAGGAAGTGATTGCCCTGAATTTGTAAAAGATTTTTGTATCTTAATTGGGAATCATTTTAAAGAAAGCAACCTGAAATGGACATGTAGCTGATGCATAGAAACAGCATATGGAGGTGGTTATGAGGAAAAGGAGAGGAAGGATAAGTGTTGAGGGTTCAAATATTTAGAAGAATTGAGTGAAGAGGATTTGGAAAAAAATATTTGAAAAGTAGCATTAAGGGGAGAGTACAATTGAAAAATCTTAGACATCGAGGGAAAGAAATTACTTTTTAAAGGTCGAATTATTTTCGTGAAGTAAGGGTTAGGGTTTTAAAACTTCATTTTTCTAAAAACTTAGAAGCCTACATTGATGAAGTAATGTAAACAATGTCAGCCTTTTTCCTTTCAGCACGCTGTTGCTAGGGTGCGCTCATTTGGGATGTCTTACAACGTGTAATTAACAAAAAGAAACTTGCAGTGCGCTTGGCTCTCTATGTTAGGCAGAAGACATGAGTATTGCCATGCGTTTGCGTGCATCTCGAGTTCTACTCAATTTTCAATATGCACGTCGATGAAACTGCTTTATTGCAGACAGCTTTGGTAGCTCGTGTAAGTTATGTGGCGTTGAAACTAAGAAAAATATCTAGGAGACATTGGCTGTACGCTATTAAACCATTACAGCCCATCGTACGCTAATTCCTGGACAACTCAAATTTTCTTTTGTAATATATTGTGAATTTTATTTCAATAAATGTAGACATCATAGCAGAATTACTATTAAAATATCTAAAATATTTAGGAAACAAAGCTAAATATTAATGTCAAATGCAACTTTCAACACAAGCCATTTTACGATATCGTTCAATAATTCCTGAACGAAACATTCTAGTTCAATAAAAACTAACATTTTGAAGTTCAAGGTCTCCAAGAAACGTTTATTACACCGTAATCCACAGGATGCTTGAACATTCCATGCAGTTTCTGCTGGCCAGCGCTTCTCAATAATAACTCGCCAGCTCGGAGACCTGCCGAATCTGCAACTAAATGCGTATGAAAGAGATGAAGGGCAGAACGTCTGCCGGATTCCGCTAGTTTTAAGTAGTACAGGTTCTTGTGGGAAAACTTACGTGGACATTGTTTTGTTATTGAAGGTCTACGATTACAGTATATATTTTTTAATTTCTTAAATACGTAGTGTATAGAAAGTTATGTAGTGCTGCGCAAGAAACGGCGATGTTTTCACGTAAAAATTCGTATTGTGGGATCCTGAAGCAAAAAAAAAAAATTAAGAAAACCTCGTACTATAGTAAATTACTATCTCTAACATGTTATATATTCAGAATTTGTGGGACTTTGGCATCGAAAACGTGTTTTTTCTAATCGCCCGTCTGTAAGCACTACTATCCTTGGGTTTTAATTTTTTGGCGCACCAAACTTCTCGATGGAATATCTTGCTGCATTTTGCGTTTTCTCGGTCGTGCCGATAGATCGCGACCATATCGAGCAGTGCGACTTGCAGCGGCACGGTATTCCATCGTGAAGACGCCCCGGCGCCAAGAGATAAAAACCCGAGAGTAGCGTCTAATCCATAGGTAGCATTTCTTTCAAAATGGACATTCCCGGTTGGTCTGATTCAACCGGAAGCGATGCGATTTTGAAAATAATTGTTTAAAATTTGGAGCTACTTTACAGTAACCCCCGGGGACAGTTTCAAAGTATTCTCAAAAATAGCTTGAAATTTATTCTCTTACTTTCTTGCAAGAATGGTGTAAAATACACTTATAAAGATGCCATAGGTCCGTTTTCACCGTTAATTCTGAATTTTTGAAAATTGCTAAAGTTTGAATTTTATTCGGCGTCTTTCCACAACTACATAATTGAATATAGAATTTTCCTTTAACTGAAATTTGTTAACAATTAGTTCTTTTATTGAGGTCATTACATTTTTTGAAACTTTTAGTAGTTTTCGCTTAATACTGCATGCAATAGGTGCAATTTTAAAAAATTACAAAAACAAGATGTTCCAAAAACTGGCTCTAAATTGTTTCTTTAAACTTTTGGTATGGTTAGTGCTAAAAGTACTTCTACATATAAAACATGAGTATCTGCGCCAAAAATTTACAAAAAATATTTCAAAATAATAATATAAATATATATAAATTATACTATAATAAATATATTAACATACATATAGAGAGAGAGAGAGAGAAGAGAGTAAAGGAGAGAGAGAGAGAGAGAGAGAGAGAGAGAGATGGACTTTGGAGTTGTTTCAAGGTCTAAATTCATTCGTAGTACGTTCTTATTTATTTGATAATACACCGAGTTTGCTTTCTTCAGTATTATTCAGTTTCTTCTTATATTTTCCGACTTCCAAAATTATTGTTCCTGAATACTCATAACTTGTTACTGGCTCCATGTCTTCCTCTCTCCACTTAATGTTCAGTTTCTCCTTTCCTGTGCCTGTACGCAAAACTTTCTCTTATTGATGCTCATCCTCATACCCCTATCCTCCAGTGCATACCCGCAGTCCATTATTATCTTGCAGCTCTCTTGGGCTTTTGGTGTACAATAAAATATCGACCGCATTCACCAAGGCTTGTATCCATACCGGTCTCATTTCCAATTTTACATTTCTTAGAACGCCTTTTGGTTTGTTTAATAGCCTGATCCATAAAGATTATGAATAATAAAGGGCTCAATGAATCCCCCTGTTTAACCCCTTTGCCCATTCTAAATTTCCCACTGAGTTGTCCCTTCAACCTGCCTTACTCTACCATACACATTTTTGTTTTTAATTACCCTTACATTTTGCTTTCTCCAGTGTGTCCCGTAGTTCTTTCCTGGGTACTGAATCGAATGCTGACTTAAATTCTATGAAAGCAGTTTTCCCCAGTAAAGCGCCACATTTGGCATCACTGTCACCATAAGAGACCGTACTTCATTCTTTAACGTCGGACGCGCCATAGTTCTTTTCAGGTTCTTCTATTCAATACCATGGAAATATACATAGTAAACGTTTAGGACTAGAATGGTATTAAAATGTAACGTACCTCTCCGGGCATGTTGATAGGTGAGCTGCGGATATCTGCCTATTTTTTTCTTTCAACGGTAAAAGCAGGGTTTCACTACTTACTCATTTTGAGGCACTTCGACTTTTATACGCGAATTTTGTAGTGCCTAAATGTTGCCTATTCTCGTATTTATTAAATACACTTCTTCCCGTAGCAAGTCACACATTTTTGACGTAAAATAAATAAAATATTGATTAAAATGGAACCACCATGCATTTTTTATTTTAAACCCGAGTGCAGACAATAGTAATCGAAGAACTATTGATAAATCTATATTGCGTGTTATTGCCAGCACAGTGGGGATATTTCGTAGTAAGAAAACCGTGGAAAATCACTGGTGGTAGGCGAGATATTTGAAGGCATTTCTGTCTAGTGAGTTGAGGTTTTTGCAAAGTGATGGTAAGCACATTTAATTCCAGTTATATTGTCACTTTCCCGCCCTTCGTAAGAACAATTCGAATATTAATCGATAATTAATATTCGTTTTGTAATCTAGCGCCGGAAAACGGCGATTCTTCCACCCCAAACTCTTTGTCAGATCCTGGTAACGAAAAGTGTCGTATACCGAAAAACCGATGGTCGACCAAAAGTCTTTTTGTCCATCTGATCTGATAATTTTTTCTTTAAAGAGAAATCTCGAAATAAAGTCGTGTGCAATGTTTCGAAAATATGAGTGGTTTTCGCGTAATTGTGCATGAAATATAGGCAATTTGTAACAATGTTTGACAAAAATTTATCTTTCTTTAAATTTTCTCCTCGAATGTATTAAAATACGCTATAAAATGGTGCTGGTCCTATTTTTACCGAAATACCTATATTCCATTATTGCAAAAAGGTTAACATAGCAAAAGTACAATATTGAAGATAGAGTTTCTTGTCTTTATCAAAATCGAAAGTTCTGTACATTTTTAAAGGGAAACAAGTGTACCCGTAAATTTTGCTTGAAATTAACGCAATGTATAGAATCATGTTCTTCAAAATTTCTCCCAATCTTTTCTTCATTTTCCATGGATAAATAAACGGATGCCTTAAAAAAGGTCGCAGATCTCATTTCTGTAGATTTCTTTGAATGATTTAAAATTGTAAATTAAGAAATAATGTGGAAAAGTGTGAGCTTTTATTGTCGGACCACTTGTTACATGTGTTAGGCATGGCGATTAAAACGAATTATACAATATTTTCTATTATCTTTAGATTAAAAGTAAAAAAAACACCTGTGAACTATTAGGGTATTGCAACATTCATTGAATGAAAAGCAAAAAGGTGGGTTCTGTGATTCAGCATTTGTTTTTCGAATTGCCCAACAAAGATATAAAAGATTTCTACGAGCATTTGTACAGAATAATGATGAAGGTAAACATTTCATCAATTTCATCAGACGTTTTTCTAGACCAATTACACAGGACGTCTCTTCAAACTATTGACAAAAAAATATATAAATGCTCCGTTCACATTTACGAGCAGCTGGGTAGTGACGCAGGGACGTGTGGTGTAAGAGGCATGCATTACTTGCGCAAGTTTTCGTCATACACGAGCACCCAGCGCTGGATAATACGACAAGTGGAGATACAGTGGTTCGACTCGGGATGGCATGTACTAATTTGGCAACAACCACCTCGTACTTTCAAAACAATCGTGACATTTCTCGTGGCACGCTTGGAGGCGCTAAGTTCATGCCCACAGCCTTCCTTCCAAAGCCGGAGGCATCCTCTCCCCGCACCCCCCGCTGTGGAATATCAAGAAAAAATGCACGTATAGTACGCAGAGATGCTACCCGGCACTCCTCTTGACGAGTGACGAGACTTATGTAAATTCAGTGCCCTCTGAAATACAGAGTGTGCAGTTAAATAACGACTATTAATGAAGGATTACTCTGGAAAAAGAGGTCAA